CGTAAGCTGATTACCTGTCCATCGTCTCTCTATTTGTTTGTATGTGTGTACTACTTGTCCCTAGACTGCTTGAATCTGTACTGCGGGACGGGAAAATGACCACAGCCACTGCTTCTTGTTTGCGCCGCCTTCCAGCCGGCCGAAAAAGAAGCAGTGGTTGTGCTCATTTCCCTGGTGCCAAGCTCAACGAACATGACCACAATCACTGCTCTGTTTCTGCTGGCTGGAAGGCGGCAACAAAAGAAAAGCAGTGGCTGTGGCCGTTTTCACGTCCCGTACTGTATGCCCTCCGCGCGGCCTCGGGGGCCCCCAGGCGGTGTGGTGGCCCTGCCGCGTGGTGGGTCGAGGAGGAGGAGGAGGGGGAGGAGGAGGAGGAGGAGGAGGAGGAGGAGGAGGAGGAGGAGGAGGAGGAGGAGGAGGAGGAGGGGGAGGGGGGAGGAGGAGGAGGAGGCGGAGGCAGAGGCGGAGGAGGAGGAGGAGGAGGAGGAGGAGGAGGAGGAGGAGGAGGAGGAGGAGGAGGAGGGACTGGATCCGGCGCCGCTCGGGCGGCGTCGCCTCCCATGGCCGCCCGTGGCCTCCCGAGGCCCCCCGCTGCCGCCCGCCGCCTCCCGAGGGGCCTCCCCCGCGGCCTCCCCGCCGCGGCCTCCCCCGCGGCCTCTGCCGCGGCCTCCCGTGGCCTCCCGCGGCCTTCCCGCGGCCTCCCGTGGCCTCCCGTGGTCTTTCTGCTGCTGCCAGTGGCCTCCCGTGGCCTCCCGCGGTCTTCCCGTGGCCTCCCGTGGCCTCCCGTGGTCTTTCGGCTGCTTCCAGTGGCAGGGGAACAACAAGCGACACAAACATGAAAACGCGGAGGTCCGCGCGGATTTCTCGGATCGGCGCCGGGGCCTCCCGGCGGCGCCTCCGGCGCCGCCCCTGGCGCGCTCCGCGCGCCAGGGAGGGGGGTCCAGCGCCGATCCGAGAAATCCGTGCGGAACTCCGAGTTTTTACGTTTATGTAACTTTTTGTTCCCCTAAGTGGCCTCCCGTGGCCGTCCCCAAGCCTATCCTATACCCCTATGCGTGTCCCTGGTGTGTATCCATCTCTTTTTGTGTCTTTCATCCCTGTCCCATGTCCCCACCCCCTTAATTCTCCATCCCCCACAGCATCTCTATCAGCATCCCCATCCCTATATCCCTCCCTATCTCTTTATCCCTGGCCCTGCATCCCTATCCCTATCCCTATCCCTATCCCTATCCCTATCCCTATCCCTATCCCTATCCCTATCCCTATCCCTATCCCTATCCCTATCCCTATCCCTATCCCTATCCCTATCCCTATCCCTATCCCTATCCCTATCCCTATCCCTATCCCTATCCCTATCCCTATCCCTATCCCTATCCCTATCCCTATCCCTATCCCTATCCCTATCCCTATCCCTATCCCTATCCCTATCGCTATCCCTATCCCTATCCCTCTCCCTCTCCCTCTCCCTCTCCCTATCCCTATCGCTAATCCCTATCCCTATCCCTATCCCTATCCCTATCCCTGTTCCTATCCTTCTCCCTATCCCTATCCTATCCCGATTCCCCCCTCGAGGCTTCCCATCGTGGCTCCGCTATCGTGGCTCCCCTATCGTGACCCTCCATCGTGGCCCCCATCGATCCTTGCTCTGCAACGCATCTCCGCCATTGCACTCGGGGAAGCAACGTAGCAACCCAGTAGAGCGGTGCAGCCGGAGTGTTGCATGATTGTCGCATTGCGTCTCAGGGTTATTGGTGGGCGTTTTTGGACTCCTGGGGGGGAGAGGGGAGGAGTGGGAGGAGGAGGAGGAGGAGGATGGGGAGGGGGAGGAACGGTAACCTTCCCGCGCGAGCCAGCGTGCGATCTCCCAGCTGGCCGAATTTTGGTGGCACCCCAGCGGCCCGCCAGGCCAGCCGCCAGGGCGCCGCGGGGGCCGAGGTTCTGTGCGCGGACCCCGTGCCGATTGTGCTCGTGCCTGGAGAGCGGGAGGGGGTCGTGCTGCTCGTGCTCGTGCTCGTGCCGATCGTGCTCGGGCTCGTGCCGCGGGGGCCCGTGCCGAGCGTGCCGTGCCCGTGCCGCGCGCGTGCCGCTCGTTCGCTGGGGGCCGTGCCGGCCGTGCCGCGGAGGCCGATCGTGTCGCCAGTGCCGATCGTGGTCATGCCGCGGACCCCGTGCCGATCGTGGTGCCCAGAGATCGGGTGGGGTTCGCCGAGGAGGGGGAGTAGGAGGAGGAGGGGGAGGAGGAGGAGGAGGAGGAGGAGGAGGAGGAGGACGAGGAGGAGGAGGAGGAGGAGGAGGAGGAGGAGGAGGAGGAGGAAGAGGAGGAGGAGAGGAGGAGGAGAGGAGGAGGAGGAGAGGGGAGGAGGGAGGGCGAGGAGAAGGAGGAGGAGGAGGAGGATGCCGAGGACAGAGCTGATGCACATCCGCCGCGGGACCTGATGTCTGGGGACATCCGGGAAGTTCGCGGGCCCCTGGAGGGGGTGCAGATATGTCCGTATCCATT